ATAAGAAAATGTTGTTCATACACTGCTGATGATATTTGCAGTGTGAATGATGTTTACATTTGTGGTGGTAACTATGCACATAAATCTTCGGGCTCTTCGATCAGTTGAATATATTTGCAAATTATCTAATTGGAGATAGGGGCACATGATTAATTAAATATGGCTGTAAATTATTTGCTACTCCTCTGGTGGAAAATGGAGTTTAGTTCTCCCACTCTGGAATCTGAGCTGGTCTTAGTGATATATTTGACCAATTTCAATGCAGAGGAAGTGATATTCTGGGAATTCCAAAGATAGGTCATACAAAGAGGTGAAGCTTCCAATTAGGTCTTTCAAAATCCTTACTCTGGGGGAAGTCAACTCCCATGTAACACATTCAACTGCCCTGAGATCACCACATTGAGGACATCAAATGTAGGCACTCTGGTCTACACTCTCTGGAGGTCTATGCTTCCAGTCATCCTTCCCAAGACACAATACACGAGGGAAGCCATCTTGGGCCTTCAAAACCAGCCCAACTAGCATCTGAGGACACAAAATGACCTCATAAATGCCACAAAAGCAAAATAATACAGCCAACTTTGGTCCAGGTTTCTAACCCACATAATTATGAGATATAATAAAATAATGTTTAAAGTCACTACATTTTTGGGTAGTTTGTTATTCAGTAATGGATAACCACAAGAGTATGATATATGGCTTTGCCATAAAGGAATCAAGCCTGACATTCTGATTCTATCATTGCATAATCCTAAAATCCCCAGCCCAAAGAATTCGTTTCACATTTATGAGCAGATTTCACTTCCATATTGGTATCTAGCTAAAATAAGCAAGGACCTCTGACTCTCCCCTGTAACTAGGCCCTCAGAGGACATTCTCAATATATTGAGGAATGAGTCCATGTGAGTTGGCTGCTTTCCTGGCAGACTTCTTTATCTTCTGGATCTACTGAAAGGCACCAGCTCCCACAGATTTGACTTTATCTTGTGGTATGAACATGTTCACAAGGACTCAAAAATCAGTTCATGTGAGCAAATAGGTATTCAGACAACATCTAATTCTTCCATCTGTTTGTTCATTCCTCCTTCCCTCCTGTCTTAACTCCTTTGATCTTCCTTGCTCTTGTTTACTCTCTCCCCTGCAGCTCCATCTCCTGCTCAGACCTACTTTCCTCTATACCTCCTCCCTTCACTTGTATGTGACCTTGAGCAGTCACTTTACCTCTCTTCACAACTGTAAATAAGGGATGTGATGAGCATTAGTATTGCACAGGATAAAGGGTAAGTCATCAAAATACATTCACCATTATTAATATGTTACTATTATATTTCAGCCTAAAATAGTAGTGGCCCTTCAACTCATGCCAATAAACACATAACTACCAACTACAATATGCCATCACTCCTCCCCATAAAAATCTACATTCATTCGGGCTCATTCAGGATCATCTCTACCACAATCAAAATGTTCAAGTCAAAGTAACCACACTGCCCAGAAAGTCAGAGCATTGTCACAGTGTAACATATAATGTCCAACCCCGTCATACAGAGAAATTATCCACCAAACTATCACTGATGCCATTCAAAATTCAAATTTGTGCAATTAAATTGCTCTTTGTAATTGTAAGATTTTGTTGAATATAATCATATTATTTCTGATGGAAAAGATGAAAATCATATTTAAATTGGGTTAATCTGATCTTGCAGAATATTAAAGCTTGTTATGTTGGTTCATGTAGGACAATATGGCACTGAAATACATTTTCCTATATAACAACGAAGAGAAATAACAATTCACAATTTAATCTTCCTAGAATATGTTTTTATTCACAGATTTCTAAACATTTTAACATTGCATGAATTTTACTTTTACCTTGCATAAAGGTCAATAATAACTATTAAAATGTCTCTTTTGGGGAATTTTTCTTTTCCCTCAGATATATAATAAGATATGACCTTACTCATGACTGATCTTTTCTAATCTTATGTATGTATGTATGTATGTATGTATGTATAGAGAGAGAGCAAGTGGAGGAAAGGGGCAGAGGGAGAGAGAGAAAGAACCTTCAGTAGGCTGCATGCTCAGCACAGAACCCAACACAGGGATGGATCCCACAACCCTGAGCTGAAATCAACAGTGTGACACTCAACCAACTGAGCCACCCAGTTGCCCCTCCTTTTTCTAATCTTCAAAACTGAATCTACAATTGTCTAATAGACATGTCCATTTGTATGTTCCATAACAATAACAATAATAATAATGGCTAACACCATAGCACTTACTTTGTACCTGGCACTTTTGAAGTACCTATTTTATATTTTCTCAGTCTACCTGTAACAACAACCCTATGGGTAAATATCATTTGGTCCATTTTACTGAGGAAACCGAGGTATAGAAAATTTAAATAACCAGCTCAAAATCACATAGCTACTGAGTGTCAGAGCCTGGATTCAAACCCAAAATGTCTCACTCCAGAGTCTGGCTTTTAGCCACTAACTGTATACCATTTCCATTCTGCTTCTCACAGACACTTGAAACTCAAATGCCTAAAGTAGAACTTAATATTTTCAACCACAAATGTGTTCTGACTCATGGGTTCACTAGCACCAAAAGCATCACATGACCTCTCACCTACTTGCCTTGGCAAGAACATGGAGCTCTATGAGCACCCTGCTCACTCATCTAAGCACATCATGACAGTTTTTCCTTCCAAACACATTATTCCTCAGACTGGTTTCTCTTTCTTACTCTAGTCCAAGTAAGACTTGGACTTACTTCTCTCTCTCCGTCTCTTTCTTTTTCCTTCTTTCCTTCCTTCCCTCTCTTTCCCTCCCTCTCTTCCTATCTCCCCATCTCCCACCTGTCTCTTGGATCACCACAATAACCTGCCTCCAATCCTGGTCCATTCAAATTTATTCTTTAGTATGCAGCCGACATGAGTTTTCCAAAAATGCAAAAGTGAGTATGTCACTTTCTATCTTAAAATACTTCAACAGCTCCCTATTATCTTCAGGTAAGTGTTCAAATTGCTTAACATGGTTTACAGGAATCCTATGGTTTAGTCTGTGCTATTTCTGTAGAATCACCATCAACCCTGGACTCACTGCTTCAGTCAGACACAGCTTCCTTCAATTCTCCAAACACAGCATGACTGCCTTGCCTCAGGGTCTTCATGCACATTGTTTCCACTGAGCATACGCACTGTAGAATATACCACACTTCCTCACCTAGGAAATTCCTACTTATCCCTCTGCTTTCAGATTAAATGTTACTTCCTTGTACAAGCCTGCCCTTACCTGCCTCAGGGACATGTTCATATGGCCCCTAAACATCCCTTACTATGGCATTAATCAGACTCTCTTACAATAACTTTTTCAATACTCTCTGAATTGGTCACTAAGCCATAAGCTTCACAAGTCCGAAACTTTTCTATTTTATTTAACATAGCTACTTAAAAGTATTTGTGACACAAAGATATTATGTACAAGCAAATATATACTCCTAAGTGAAATAATCTGTTTTCTACCCCAAAAAATCAATTTGCATGAATATTCTGTATGAAATATTCTATAATAGGAAATTAAAAAGAAGTAAAAGGAATGGTAAGTGATGATGAACAAAATACCATGGAGAAAGAATAAATGAAGGCACAGATAAAATAGAAATTTTGGAGTTCAGTAAATACATGTTTATTTATTATCATGGGCATGGAGATACATACAAACTTTCATAAGGTTATTAAAACAATAATTAAGATTGAAAATAATTATATTGATCTCTGATAGTTTCAAAGAGAAAGTAAATCGAAGATTTGGGAAATGAATGTTGATCAGTGTTTCCTTTACAAACTTCTCCAGACTCCTGAGTCCATTAAAAGCACAGTTAAGACTCGAGGCCAGCAGATATTGGACAAAGTCCCCATAGCCAAGAAAGGAAGTAGAAACCCCTAACCAAATTAAGAGAAGACAGGACCACAATCATATTGATCAATAATCTTACCATAATTACTTTTTTGGATAAAAATATTGTAGATTCAATAATTTTGAATGTCTACTATCATTCAGATTATAGAAATTTAAGTCAGTAAGACAATATATCTCTACTTTCTGTAGACTCTACCTTCCATAGCATCAGAGACTCATGATTTGCCTTCAGCTTTATATTCAGGTTAAAGAAAATGTATGTTGACAATGACCTGGAATTATTTATAGTAGGGTAACCTCAATGGATCAAAGGAAACCATCACTGATTAAAGTCAAATGCCTCATATGGATATTAGTACATATGGACATTTAGTTACTATATGTAACCGAAAAACTTGGTTGGCTTATGTCCTTTGAGAATATCTGTTTAAAACCAGCCTTCCAAGGAGATCACTCAAAGAGAGCAAGCCAGGGATCACTCCCTCATGGCTCAGTCTACAAAGTACCATCTGTTGGCATTCAAAGGTCCCTGGGAAATTCAGATCCACAAATTTCAACAGAATCAGGCATAAGAATTAGTAAGTTACTTTGGAAGCAAACAAGGCCTCACACAGTACCCCAAGGCAGGTAATGGTGCATTTAGGTGATTATTTTTGTTGTTGTTGTTGTTCTGGAGGCCTCCAGTGTTGGAGACGGTCAATTCAGTGTTGCTTTGTTTTATTCTGATACAATAAATAAAGTATGAGCCTAATTTACATTAAATACTTATGCCTCATGGTTTAAAAAATCTCTAAAAACTCTCACTTCCTCATATTTTAACTGCAACACCACCATTTTCCCCCTGAGGCTTCCTATAGATTTTAACTATGAGTCAGAAAGAAAGTACATCAAACCTGGAAAATAATATGACATTATGTCCTCAGTGTAATTAGAAAACATTTTTTAAAAAAGGATCCACATGTAAATCCTCTTGAATGGAGAGATTAAAATAAATGTTACAATCTAAATCATTCTGTATAAATCTCATTTGCAGCTTTTCTATGTGGAAATTTGTAAAGAGTTATGGAAAACACTTACCAGAATATTTCTGTTATGCTAAAGACCTCAAAGTCCTGCCATATTTCACCCTTCAGGATCTTGCAAAGGGAGGTAGAAAAGACACTATGAAAAAGATGACCAAATGCCCCTAAATTTTAGAAAGAAAAATGTAGTCATCTAGACACTAGCCGTTAGAATGAATCTTTATTAATAAAATGCATACATTTTTCAAGTTATTTCTCTTCTTTTTTAAAAAAAATTTTAATGTTTTTTATTTATTTCTGAGAGAGAGAGCGTGAGCAGGGGAGGGTCAGAGAGAGAGGGAAACACAGAATCTGAAACAGGCTCCGAGCTAGCTGTCAGCACAGAGCCCGACGCCTGGCTCGAACCCAGAACCATGAGATGATGACCTGAGCCAAAGTCGGATGCTTGACTGACTGAGCTACCCAGGCGCCCCAAGTTATTTCTCTTCTTTAATAACATGTTTTGAGCTTGTTGGATTCTCTCCCCTTTCTGCATGTTGATATCATGTCTGTCTTCCTTATGGCTGCCAACAGCACCACACTTGTATGGAAAACTGTCATTTGGAGACACAGCGTCTTTGACTTTTTTGTGAGACTGCTGCTGTTGTTTCCTTTGATGAACAAAAGCACTGCTCTGTGTTTTGTGTGATTCTTCTAGGGAACACCTTAGAGAAATAATTAGCTAGGCTGGTAGTTTCAGGAGAAAAAAAAGGAGACCTTTAGTGCTCCTAGAAAAGCCTATTTTTTGGGTTTTGTTTTTGTTTTGGTCAACAATCAATAATTTTCTTGTGAATACAGGTCCTTTCTAAAATGAAAGTTGTAAAGACTCAAAAAAAAATGATCTTTAAGCAACAAGAAGCATGCACAAATGGTGATAATTGTGACTTGCTGAGGTTTTTTTCCTCATTACTGCATTGATCTCAACAGCTGTAGGCACTTAAACTCTTTCTGGAACCCTTGTACCTTACATTATGCACACGAGAAGAAGTGGGGACGATTATTACCAATTTTTCACAGAGCCCCGGGAGCCACTTAGGAGGATAGACATTCTCAACCCCCCCTCCCCCCGCCGCTGCTCCCGTCACATTACCTCCACACTCACCAATTGCACCAGCTTCTCATAAAATAACGCAGCAATATTCATTAGGAAAAATGGAATTTTTATGTATTAAGAACAAAGGGAAAAGAAACAGAAAGAAGGGAAAGTTGAGCTAGTCTTTTTCAAGTGAAGCGTGTCTCAAATGATACGTAATGAAAGGTCTTTGTGGATTGGATTGTGTGTGTGTGAGCATTTACGGCACCTGTGTCCGTGGGGGACCCCACCCCCGCCACCCCTCCGCACCAGCCGTCGTGTGGTAACGCTGGTGTGTAATTACAGAGCACTTCACTGCATTCAGCCATGGTTTGTTTCCCTGATAATTTCCACTTTCATTGTTCAAGAGGCTGTGGCCACTGTAGAAGCTGAGGTTCAAGTACCTCCAGCTGTTGAGATAAATGAATGGTGTAGCCGTTTTTAAAAGTTTCCAGGAGGAATGCTGTTTAAGAGGAAAGTGTGACAGAAGTACAGTTAAAATAGTCTACTTACCTTTCCAAGGCCATAAAATCCTAACTCTATAAACGAATCATTCTTTCTTCTTCTTCTTCATTCCACAAGCTGGCTGAGCTCCTTTGTCCCCACCCAGTACAGCTGTTTCCCCTTGCCTGCTATTAAATTCTCAGTATGGAACAAGCTACTTCGATTTTCTATTCAGCTCCACAGACGTAGCCCCTATGTTGTCTGCGCTTATGGTGTATAACAGACTTGGACATTAAAAAATTGTGTTAACCTGTTTATAATGAAAGAATAAAAATGTCCAAAAGGACAAAACCTTGCCAAATCTGAAGACAAATCGGCTTCTGTTTTCTTGCATTTCCCTCTTCCGACCAAAGCTCTCGAATACGTTGTTTACTTGTATTTGTCTTAAGTGTGAGACATTAGAAAACAGAAAGTTAACAAAAACTAATGTAATTTCATGCCAGCACAAGGGAGAGAATACAGGTCTTGTCTTGTTTTCCAAAGACCCTTTATGTCACCAACAAAAGTGTAGGCTTTACTTAGGAACAGTGCTGCTTGATTCATTATTATTACTCTTCTCATTTTACTGTATTTTACAAATAGCCTGTTCAAATTGATATAAAAAGTAAGAACCTTTATTAGATTCCCACAGTATAAAATTTAACTATCATGTCAAATGTTTGGTAATTTCAACAAGCTATGAGTTACGTTTCTAAATTGGTCACTAGTGACCCGATAACTTTTGGTTGGAGAGTACTTTTTCTCTTCCTCCATGTGCGTGTGTTTAGATAGACAGACTGATGATGATTGACAGGTGGGTAGGTAGGTAGGTAGATAGTTGATAGATAGATGACAGATGGATGGTAAAGTAATAACAGGGGTGCCTGCCTGGCTCAGTCAGTAAAGCTTGTAACTATTAACCTCAGGATCATGAATTCAAGACCCCTGTTGGGTACAGAGCTTAAAGACAAAAAACGTAAGCAGAAAAAAATGAAATGAGGTAAAACATTACCAATAGGTAAATCTGGGTAGAGTGTACAATTATTTTCATAATTTTTTTTTTTAGAGAGAGACCAAGCATGCACAAGCTGGGGAGAGGGCCAGAGAGAGAGAGAGAATCTTAAGCAGCCTCTACCTTCAAGGCAGAACCAGATGATGGGCTGAATCCCATGACCCTGGGATCATGATCTGAGCTGAAATCAAGAGTCAGACTTTCAGCTGACTAAGTCACCCAGGTGCCCCTATTTTTACAATCTTTTAGGTCCAAAGTTATTTACAAACAAAATTTAAAAAATTTACATGTGGAGTGCCTTGGAGGCTCAGTTGGTTAAGCATCCCACTTCAGCTGAGGTCATCATCTTACAGTTCATGAGTTCAAGCCCTGTGTCAGGCTCTGTGCAGACAGCTCAGAGCCTGGAGCCTGCTTCGGATTCCGTGTCTTCCTCTCTTTCTGCCCCTCCCCCACTTGTGCTCTGCCTCTCTCTCAAACATTAAATTTTTTTTAAATTTACATGTGGCTTAAACATGTACAACCTAGAGTCCAGCCGCAGCTTCTGCTCCTTGCTCTCTTTCTCCACACATATCCCAAGCTCCAGTCAAACCAAATTACCTGTAATTTCCTCCAGTGGATGCCCTCATCCTTCCGTCTCCCTGGGGACTATGACATGCTGTTCAAGACAACACGAGCCCATCTCTGCAGAAAAGCCTTTCCCTGATCTCTGCAGGCAAGTTAAGTCTGTCTTCAGTGTGAGAAATATAGTATTTTTTACATGTTTGCCTTCATTATAAGATATAAAAATGAGACTGCATTTTGTGTGACCTTGGGAATGTTACTTAACTTTTGTATGCCTCCGTTTATTTATAATGTGGAGATGACAGCACCCACTCATAGGGATATTTTGATGATTAAATGGGTTAAATCATGTAAAGTGCTTGGAACTGACTGAGGAATAGCAGGTGTGCCATGATGTTAGTTATTATGGTGGTGAGACGGTGATCAGTATAGTATCAGAAAAGTACTTGGGGCGCCTGGGTGGCTTAATCGGTTAAGCGTCCGACTTTCGCTTAGGTCATGATCTCGCGGTTCGTGGGTTTGAGTCCCGCATGGGGCTCTGTGCTGACAGCCAGCTCAGAGCCTGGAGCCTGTTTCAGAGTCTGTGACTCCCTCTCTCTCTGACCCTCTCCTGCTCACACTGTCTCTCTCTCTCTCCTAGAAATAAATAAAACATTAAAAAAATTAAAAAAAAAAAAGAAAAGTACTCGAATGGTAGGAGGAGGGATAATGGTATAGACTACACCAACCATTGGAGACACCACTAAGTACTTTCAGGTAAATGAATGAAGGGTTGCTCAGGGAGCACATTATTATAATAGTAGAGGGAAGAAGGAAGGTCTCAACCACCGTGGTAACAAGGAGGAGAGAAGGAGGGAAAGAATTTGGAAAGCCATGTAGATCTATATCAAGTAATTCCATGACTGTGAGGTGAGAGGGAAGGGATACAAGCTCTTATGTCATCATTATCTTAGGACCTTCACAAAGCCCCATTTTAGGTGGTGTTTCTGGAATATGGTTTCGCTGTGGCCATTAGCACTATCTCCAGCAGGCAATATGGATCAACCTCTCTGATGGGGTTCAAGTACTTCTCTTGGTGTTTTGCAAGGCATTTGTATAAACGTTTATTATATATATGTGGCAATCTTTAGTCAGTGTGTGTTTGTAGCTATATATTTGAAAGGAGCTAGATCAAAGATAATATATAACCACATAACAACATAATAAAATTTTTAATAATGCTTATAAGCAAGGTGGGGGAACAAAAAATGTAACAGCCGAGGTGTAATTTTTTTCATTTTAATTTGCTCACTCATATCTTATATGGCTTTGTATGGAAAAAAAAGAATATGACATAATCCTGGCCCAAAACCCTGTTTCACGAGAGAAGTGAACTGGTTTTGTATATCAATGTTAAGAAACAAACTAAAATTAAATAAATGTGAGAACACAACTGTATTGCCTCTTAATAGTATTTTATTGAAAAGTTTACAATTAGAACACTTGTAATAACACAAAAAGTTTAAAAGTGACATAAGTCGCCCTGCAGGTAGGATTTTTTTTATATGCAAGAGGAATGGGGACCTTACGCTTAAAATGTGTGGAATTCATAGCACAGTCTGGGGCTCAGTAGATCAACAGAGTCCATAATCCGAAGGGAACGGACATAACTTCCAAGTTATTCCAAAGTTGGCAGGGGAGAGGAGGTGGAGAGAGATGGCATCAATCTGAAGGTTTCACTTGGCTCAGTTTGAAATCCAGAGGAAAACAAGAACAAAAGCACCTCAGCGGTTTGTACCATCTGCGGACAGACGCCAGAACACAAAACTGCAAACCAATGTCCTTTAACGAAATTCATACTTTAAAGACCTTTGTCACTTCTCAAAGTCAGTACTGTAAAAAGGGATAATGATGTCCCTGGATGAGCCAGATAATTGAGAATAATTATCAAAAAAAGGTACATTACACAAACATCATGATGAAGGGATTCATAAATTA